ACCACAAAGACGAAGTCTGAGCGGTTCATGAAGTTACCTGAACAGAGCAGTGGAATTACAGCCCTGTCAGGCAAAAGTTACCTTTTTAAACATATGAATCTACATTTTTTTCTTGCATCTTTTCTCCCTATATACTCATTCAGCCTCTCAACCCACTCTTCTGTTTTTCCTCCTACCTCCTCTTCTTTCTTCTACTGAAATATCACTCCCACCTGATTTTGGAATGCAAATTAGTTTTTCAAAGGACCACCTGATTCTGAAAAGTGGTCTGGTTTTCTAAGAGCTTTTTCACAGTGGGCGCCAATGTAGTGGTGAATTCATCTAACATCTTTACAGCCTCCCGGAAAATGATGCCAATAACATTCTAAGTAAGAGCAGTATTTTAAAGAAAATTAACAAAAAGACTCCGAATCCATGGGAACATTTTCACATACCGTTACCAAAGGCAGCTGTTAATGTTATTGCCGGTACTCTGCTTTTGGCTGCACAGTCTATACAGTCCTGCCAATGACATGCCAAGATGCCTCAGCTGACCTTCATCATCTTCAGGACCAAAGACAACTTTAGAAGGACATGCAGTCACCTCTTTGCTATCTGGGGGACTTGGGAGAAGAGGCAGCCTGTACAGTGGGAGACCCAGGAGGCATAAAAACTCCTGGGAAAATCCTGGAGATGGACGTACCAAAGGCAGCCAGCTCAACTCCAGCTAAAGGAGCTAGCCGGGGCGCCCAACCCAAAATACGGCTCTTGCGGAACCAGCTCACGTGTGTCTGTACCACGCTACTCCCACCTGCTGAGACAGCACGCTGCTGAAATCCCAGGAGTTAATTCAGGTGTCTTTGTACCCATGGAACAATTTACTCACAGATCAGATTAGTGGAATTGCAGGGGGGTTGAGTTTTCAGCTTAAAAACCAACACTTATTAATCTTACCGCCTTCTGAAAACAAGAATTCAATGAGCCTGCATCTGTGTTTTACATCTCTACAGTGGACTCCCCAAATCTCCAAACCAGGAGATTAAAGATTAATATTTTTTAATAATAAATCTCAACAACAGTCAAGGAGTACAGTCTAATGAGCACAGGCCCGTATCTACTTACTACTGCATTTTTATTCTAAAACACTGATTGCTAAGAGACTGAAAATAAAAATCCCATCAACATATATGGCTTATGGTTATCATTATGTTGATTAGTTGTTTTAATTTGAGAATTTTGGATATGATTCCCAGTTCCAGCACATAAAATTTTCCATTGAAAGCAGATTTTGGCATTCTTTGCATGAGATACAGTGGTTAGTGTTAACATGCAACCAAAAATTTTATGCAGGCAAATAAACTTACTTCCTTTTCTTTGGGCTCACTTCCAAAACACTGGTTTTAATATATGATGTACAAATGTCCCGTAACACTGCTTTATATTAAAAGCATGAGCCAGAAATGTCCTATGAGAACACTTCTTAGGTCAGTATTTTTCATTTGTTATTATTATTCATGCCTACATACCTATATGGAAATATAGAATCACCTACAACATATTTAATTTCTTCAGAGGAAAATAATTCAGGAACAAAATTTAGCACGTCCTACTAAATGGTGTGAACACGCTGAGAAAGATTTATTCACTTGACTCCTCTTAGGAACATAAGTTGCAGAAAGATTTTGACCTTCTACTCAAAAAACTGAACATGGTAAATAAACCCCACATGATAGCACAGAGTTGTATGTGCTGAATTTTTTCAGTTAACCCATGTGGATGGACATTCTCAAGCACCTCAGCGAAGGCAGGCATTCAGGTAACATACAGATCAAAGCCAATCTCTCTCACGCACTAGAATATACTACACTTTCATTTCTGGCAAATCTGTATTTTACTACTGTTTCAGAGACAGACTCCCCTCTCCCTCTTCTCTTTGTGAACGCACACCCCCCGTCATTTCCTTTCTAGGATCATTAATGCGCTACAACAAGGGGCGTGACTGCAATTTGTAGACGGAACAGGATTAGAAGCTCATCCTACTAGGGGTCTACTCTGGTAGAAGCCCCATGAGGCTGCGAATGACTCCGAATGTCCCAGGAGGTGGCTGGCTTGCACTGAAGGCCCATGATGATTTAACTACAAATGGTTGGCTTCACTTAGTACATGGATACACTCCTTGAGGAGCACTGTAGACATACATACACTGTAATAAAGAGGCCTCTTTGCCAATGATAAATGGTACTTTAAAAAAAAAAAAAAGAAGGCAATAATATAAAATCCACTCCAAAAATTCAGTGGTGAGAAATGTGGATTTCTCCATTTATCTTTGTTACACAAAAATATTCACATTTGTGGATACTACATGCACCTGTTGTAAATATAAAACTTAAGATCAAAATAATTTTCAGGTATATTGAAAAACAAATGGCATTATTACTATAAGTTTCCATTTCCGTTGGGGTTTGTTTGGGTTTTGAGGGGTTTATTTGGTTTTTTACCTGAACCACTGTAAGACGATGATGAAGGTGTTCGCCTTGAAAAGCTTTTCACAGCAAGACTCTGCCCTCGCTGTTTCCGCCTCCAAGCGGTTCGGCATTTGGAGTCTATGCTTTGCTTGATTCGATACCAGTCAGATTCTGTGATTCCGAATTTGTAAAATAGGTGACCTGTAATTAGAGAGGAATGCAAAAGGGGTGAAAATCAGCATAAATCTCTGTTTTCAGGAAAATGCATAGATGACACACACTGTCACACGCACAAGGTGAAGAAAGCAACTCTGACAATTTTAGAACTGCCCTCGTGCTTGACACTGCCTAAGGGAATACAATGACATTACAGAAAACGCCAAAGCTATACAGTGATGTGATTTCAACAGCTATTCACAAAATTAAGTAAGCATACATACGCACGGTTATGTATTTTAAAATGTCAGCAGTCTGATATTTTCTAATCTACACTTCTATCCAAGGAAGCTGGGCTATTACATTCAAGCTGTGTAACACTGACCAACGGAAGGATCCAGCACTCCGAAGCCAGAACTGGATAAAGCTTTGTTGCTCACTGATAGTGCCCCACAATATGTATCAGTCCGATAAGCAGGAAGCCGTATAAAGCTCCCTATAAAAAACCCTCTTTTAAAGCTCAGTTTTAAATTCATCAGAATCCAATAAAAATGCAGTACAAGACCAGAATCTTCTGAAAATGTTACTACTAGTATTAAGTCATTTAAAGAGCCACATTATGTACTTTCCAGCATTTGGTGCAAAGTTGCCAAACTGTTACAGAAACACAATGTTGACTCGTGAGCTGAGCCGAGTATTTTGAAACAAAGCTCCTACAGATCGAGTCCTGCTGCCAGCAAAAACCAGGTTCATTATCATGTGCAACCCCTGCACCCGAAGGGGAAGCCTAGTTATACAAGAAACAGAGGGAGCAAAAAGACTATTTCAGGTATGACAAGAAATACTTGTTTCAACATCTGGACAAATGGCTTTAAAACTGGGAAGGAAACATCTCGTGCATTGTCAGCTGTTTCAAGGTCCTCCTCATATTGCTACATACTTTTGCCATTTCATTGTAAGCTGCTGAGTGGTTTATATTTTGCTTAAAGCATCAACAGTTGAGAGCATTTGACTGTACGTTAAGAGAAATTTATAATCCTCATGGCTGCACATTTACTTGAAAAAGTAAACCCAAAGGTTCAAAACCCATGAATTAAAACAGACCTATCTGGACATTTAACACTTTCTAAAACTTCAGTACTTCTAAATTTTCCAGATTTAGATGTGCAATACTGCAGTTAAACAATCCAAAGCTGCAATAGATGCTTTTACTCAACATGACTATGCTTGAAGGATCGCCAAGATTCTTATTTTCCTTTTGGTATCAGTTGCTTGCCATACCCTGCAAAGTAAAATAATCTTTTCAACCTATTGGGTTTTTGATCTTATTCTCAGACAGGATCCTGAACCTGTGAAGTACTTGCTTAAGCTGTTGTATAGTCCTATGAACAGGATACGGTCTGCTCCTGTAAGATGAATGATCTGAAGCCTACAGCCACAAAATTCCAGGTTTGCACAAACTGAGAGCTTTGTGTTTTCCTTTGTAGTACAAATGAGCCCAGAGTCCTCAGAAACTGAAATCTGCAGGTTACTGGTCTAACCTGGTCAAGTGGAGTACTGTATCTCTTAAGTCATCATTATTTTTTTTAAAGCACATTTATTTTCCAAAGCTCTAAATAATTTTTTTATTGATCTGTTCAAAACGCAATTTGAAATAAAGAACATACAGGAGGAAAAACGCTGGCATCAAAAAGCTAATTCAGGAGTGCTTTAAAGGCCCCAAGATTTCTCACTGGCAAGTGCCAGCAAGCACGTTACTTAGAGATTGCTTTACAACGCCTACATTATGTCTCCAAAAAGGGGGTGGGAGTAGGAAAGGAGGAAAAATAGACCGAAATTACCATCTGCTGCTGTGCAACAGTTTCCTTTCCATAGGTGTCAGCAAAAGGAAAGCACATTCTGTATTGTAAATACTGAGACCACATTTCTCAGTGTAATCTATTACTAATATGCACTACACAGAGAAATGGGTTTATAAATGTTTGCAGTAACATCCAATAAAAATAGTTGTGCTTTAACTCTTTATATGACTTCAGTTGTCACTACATACAAAAGTACTTGTGTAGTCCTACACAAAACACAGTCATATGCTCTGTGGTTATTTTGAAAAAAAATGTCCATATTTCATTCATAAATACATTTTAATGACCTTCACGTTGTATGCTGCTCTGTTTAGAGAAGTGACTGAATCAACTGTAGGTCAGAGAAAACTTTCACAGAAAAGCAGTCTAGCTAGGAATGTTAACGATTACAGTATAATCCATGGGATAGTCCAGGATGTCACTTAATTCAAAGAGAAATCAAAAGCAATATAAATTATTTGGGACAAGATAGTCTCAGGTGCAGTGAGCTGTTCATACCAGGAGACCCAAGCCGCGTAGGACAAGAGCTTGAGAAAGATGATGAGTGCCAGAGCTGTGACATAAAAAGGCCCAGAAATTGCTCTACTGAGGGAAGACAGGAAAAGACCTTCTTCTATTACTGATCACAAAAGCTATCACTTAATCAATGTGATAAGGAATGGCCATGAAATACTAGCTAGAGACCACTACCTTAATGGAGAGAACATGACTACAGAGGAAAGCATGGAAAATAGATAACAAGCTAAACAGGGTAGAGTCAGAGAAGAAGATTTTAGGCTAGCAAGACTTAAGACATCAGGCACAGATTTTCAAAGCCAGGTGTGCTTACTACTTTTCCCTTATTCATGAAATTCCTACTTAGCTGTTACGGTGCTCAACGGTGTAAAACTGGTATAGACGAAACGCCGGCTGTTTGCACAGGTTTTTACCATAACCGCATACTCAGTCACAGTAACTGCATGGGCAAATCAGGCATGACAAATTAGCCCATAAGTACAAAGATAGTTGATATAAAGGTTAAATTAATTTCAGATGTATAAATCTATCCCGTTGGTCTTACAATCTAAAATGTTATTCTATGAACAGGTCTTTAGCAACCACATTTCATAACAGTCCACTGATGACTGAAGAAAAATCTAATGGTAATGACAGTGGAGTATTTCTTCAGTAGAGAAAAAGTTCACCATAACATTAGAACTATGATTTACCTGTAGTAGAGCGCTACATCCCAAAAACATGTGCAAACAATATTAGAAAACTGAAGCATGCTGACTTTCTGTTCTCTATCCATAAATGATCACATGTAGGAGAGCTTTCAGCTGTCTCATTCTGAGTTTGTCAAATACCAAAAAAAAGTTAGAAAGGCAGCGCTAAAGCAAGATACTGCAAATGAGATATTTAACTTGGGAAGTCCATATTAGAAAAGACAGAAATACTTCAGTGAGAAGGGATTTGACTTTTTCGGAACATTTGCTAGTCAAAACCAGCATGAAGCGTTGTAATTTGTAAGCAGCACAGTATCCATGAGCCACATAACAACCCTGCTAAAAACACATAAAAAATACGTTCAGCAGTACAATTCAGCACTTTGGCAAAAAGACAACAGTATTTTGGAAGACAGATGCTCTTATACAAGAAGAGTGAAGTAAAGGATTTAGATCATCTAAGGATGGCTGACTGTTTTTAGTGAGCTTTTTATTTAGGACAATGGATGGTTGCCGGTAACATTGAAAACAAAGGATGTGCTTGTTTTTAAACATTAAGGGGTCCAAAGTTTGCTTTCTTTGGGAACCTCAGTTCCTAAACAAAGCTTTCTATGAAAACACACCAGAGACTTAAAATAGTTCAGTTATTTAACAAATTGCAAGAGCTCCAGTGATTTCTATAGACCACATATATACTAGCAGCAGCTTGGGAGACAAAAAGAATTCTGCACAAAGAATTCACAGAGACGTGGGCTGTTCTGAAATGCACAAAGAGGACATCACTTTGGTAGGAAAGCAAGAACCAACGTTCAAATCTTATCAAGCAAAAGCTTCGGAGGAAGGCATGCGTGCATCAGGAAAATTAAAGAAGTCAGTTTTAAAAGCCAGCGGGCGCATCATCCTAAGTTTTGCCTCCCACATCCTAGATCAGAAACACAGCACGGTTTTGCCAAAGTTGCTATAAAACTAAAAAAGAAGAAGACTGACACAACAAGTTCTAGAATGCTTCTCATGCACCGCAAAATAAATCTTTCTGCGGTTCAAAGAAAGGAAAAGCTTGGAAGTGCAGTGAAGATGATCTGGTACCAACACAAAGGTCGTCAGGGATGATGTCTGAAATGACTGTATACTCCCAAACTTTTGGGATGTCTAATGTACAAAATAGGGGGAGAAAGGGTTGGCTTTTTTAAAAACAGGGCTAATTAGGAAAAAAAGAACAACCCATGAAAACAATGTTCCTGAGAAAGTAATCCTGTCTTTCTTAAAGGTCAGAAGTCAGTCAGCAGACAAAACAATCCACATAAAACATTAAATTGTAAAGAAATTTAATTAAGAACAAATTGAGGAGGAAGAGAAGACATTTGCAATATCAAAACCAGACATGAAATATTCCATCTTGATACCGCATTCAAAATCAGCCTCCTAAAAAACAATCTTCATGTCAATAGCTCGCACTTGGACATTGCTAGGTTGTGTTGCTTCCCATTCTCCATCAATACCAGATTTCTTTAGAAAATTCAAAGGTAAATCATTATTTTCATGGACTTGGCAGAGTTTCCTTTGCTGCCGTTTACACTGAGATGGCACAGACTTTCCCTCTGTTATTGTTACATTTTGAAAGATTAGGGAAAGTGTTACCCCTAGAGAATCTAACAGCCACATGTATAAAATAAAGACATATTTACACTAAATACGTAATCCAAACAGATTTGGTTAACTGTTCCTTCCATTTCCAAATTCAACATCATTTTTAAAGTCTAGGGAAAAAGCAACAGGATGTGATATTCAAAATTCAAACGATTAAACTGATGAACAGAATCTTTTTTTAATTGACAAGAATATGATGGATATTGTGAAAAACAAGGGCTTCAGATTCTGCCTGCACAGAATCATGAAGAGGGGCGATTATTTGGGGGTTTGGCTAACGAAATGCATTTTTTCACATAAGGGTCATACATTTGGAGTTCTTTTTATTAAA